AATCGAGATGTGACCATGTGTGGCGTCATTGTTGGCGGGAGATTTGAACGGGCGCTCGCCCGGCCAAAATTTTGTAGCCAATCACAACTTGCGATGCCTTATCTGCACCAATGAGATTCAAGACCGTTCGTGAAAAGTTGCATGAAACCACTGGGGCGAAAGATACGATCTTTCCTGCGCCTTTGCTCGTGTGTGCGTGTCGAGTCCACACCTATTGAGTTCAAACTAAAATCGCACGATGTGATAGGCCAAAGGACAAAGGTGAGCGGACCATTGAGACTTCTGATTGGAGACAAAAGTAGTGCGGCAACTCGATTGCTCTCGCAGGTCGCTCTCATTTAGTGAGAGAGACACGAGTAAATTGTACTCGTGTCGATGGGAATTGCCGAAACACATCACATGCGCTTACAAAAGGAACCAAAGCGTCACCAAGACCCATACGAGCGACCAAGACCTTGCTTTGACGTATCGATAGTTGACAGTTGGCTATTTTCTGCACATGCCCCACACGCGGCTCTACGTTTCAGGAGTCGTGCTTGTTACCAGAAAAGGGGGCAAAAAGGAGGCGGATATCATCGCCTAAATGTATTCACCTGATCTCCGATGGAGCAACCAAGTTTTTTCGCGAGTTTTTGGGGGCCGACAAATACCATGAAATACCAACCAGTACGAGCAAAAGTTTTATTCAAAGTCCGTAAGAGTTGAGGCCGCCGCCCAAGAAGGGAGTCGTAGGTAGGTTAAAAGTGCGTAGAGGTTTGGAGCTGGACGAGCTAATCGCAAACGTGCTTGGTGCGCATTGCTATAATATGTGAGTTGGTAGAGCTGCCGTCATATAGGGTGAGCTGGCGGTTTGGCAAGCGGTTTAAGATGGCGCTCTTGCTTGGCCTTGGTACAAAACCCAGCTTCACGCACTCCGCGAGAAACTATCCCTTTTGCCAATCACAGCGGCAAGGCTTCGACACGAGATGACCTTTTTAGCCAATCACCAGTGTCCATGCTGTTAACTTGCAGAGTTATAGGCGCTAGCCAAGAGGATACAAAAGGCGTTCTATCACTTGGGGATGGAACAATTGGTATCATTAGGTGTGTTAAGGTGTGCATCGGTTAGTTGATACTAGCCACGTACAACAAG